TGGTGCTCAATACATGAATTAACTAAATGATAATTAGTTAATTAGGAAAACCATACATTCATTCATTGGGCAAAGTCCCTGCAAAGGCATTATGACCATGTGTATAAGAACCATAACAATGTTCATTTTCCCCTTTTAGCTCAGCATTTCCATGTGTCAGAATCTATTTAAAGGAAATGAGTCAGAGGAAGAAAACATTATTCATGCTCAAAACATTTTGTTGTTGCTGTTAGTCGCCATTCATTGATCTATTCCAACTCATGACAACACCATGTGTTATAGAGTAGAACTGCTCCACCGGGTTTTCTTGTCTGTGTTCTTTATGGAGCAGATCACCAGGCCTTGTCTTCCACGGTACCGCTGTATGAGTTCAAACAGCTAAACTTTAGGTTAGTAGTCGAGCACTAACCATCTAGAGCAGCCCTGATAGTGTCACACTGTTGTATCTCCCTTAGAGAGAGAACCTACTGTGAAGAGTGTAGTTACCTGACAGCTTCCAGCTGCTGTGCATTTGGGGTGGACCAAGTTCACACTGACCCCATGCTGTTCTTAGCAGTGACTGAGCGTGGAACTGGTATTGGAACTGGACCATCTCTGTCTGAGGCAGGGTGCCTCTTGCAGGCAGTCTTTGCTCTGAACTCCCCATCAGCCCGTACAACCAGAATGCTCCTTAGAAGCAAGGACGGTGAGACGAAAAACATGTTATCAGGAGGGATGAGTCCCTGGAGAAGGACATCATGCTTGCTAAAGTAAAGGGTCAGTGAAAAGAGGAAGACCCTCAACGAGATGGACTGACACAGTAGCTGCAACAAGGGCTCAGGCATAGCAGCGATTGTGATGATGGCACAGGACCAGGCAGTGTTCGGTTCTGTAGTACATAGGGTCACTATGAGTCGGAGCCAACTCAATGGCACCTGACAACAACAACCCCATCAGCCTGGCTGAAACTTTCTCTTAGCTGCACCACAGGCCAAAGCACCTCCTAACCAATTCTCCTTCCTCCCCTCTCTCCTTTCACAGGTGTAAGACATGATTGCCCAGCCTACTCCTGTTCCCTCTTTCCTTTATACTTCATGGGAATTTCTCCCAATAAATAGCTAGCACTTCTAATTCCATCTTGGTGTCTGCTTCTTGGAGGACCTATACTGAAACAATGCTAGAAACAATTGAAATGAGAAAGAAATTTTTTTTGTTTATTGTTTTTCCCAACTGAAGATTTTATAGCCATTAACATGACATGCTTGGTAAAGTACAGGGTCAGTGAAAAAGAGGAAGACGTTCAATGAGATGGACTGACACAGTGGTTGCAACAGTGGGCTCAAGCATAACAAGGATCATGAGGATGCTGCAGGATTGGGCAGTGTTTCATTCCATAGTACATAGATTCGCTGTGAGTCGGAACCGACTCGATGGCACCTAACAACAACATGACATTATGGACAGGTGGGGAAGTGTTTACGGCATAGATTTGAGAAAAGAGAAAAGCATAATATCTGTTTGTATTTTTAATTTCAACAATGTGAAAATGTGTGCAAAATTCTTACCTCATAGACGACCTTTTATTTTTTACTTTAGACACAGTACTTTTTTTCATAATAAATAAGAATATGACCTTTAAGCTTTAACAACCCAAAACTCTATGCACATAAAAATGTTAATTGCATCATTTTATGATTTTAAGAAGTCTAGAACTGACCCAAAACGTATGAAAAAGTTGTCTAGTAATGAGATAAGATAGAACATACTAGCATATCATTAGTTAAAAGCATGAGTTCAGAGTTAGGCAGTTATGGATTTAGATGCAAGTGAATCGCTTTCTGAAATGCATGTAAACAGGAAAAATTTTAAACAATATTTGTAAAAAGACAGAAGCATGCCCAGTATATAACTCCCAGAGAGGCAATGGAATATACAACTCTTGTTGTTATCTGCTATCGAGTGGATTCCAACTCATGGCAACCTATGTACAACAGAATGAAATGTTGCCTGGTCCTGCATCATCCTCACAATCACCAGCATGTTCAAGTCTATCATTGCGACTGTTTTGCCAATCCATCCCACTGAGGGTCTCCCACGCCCTCGTTGGCCCTCTACTTCACCAAACATGATGCTTCCTTTAGTGATTGATCTCTCCTGATGACGTGTCCAAAGCAAGCAAGTTGGGCAATGTTCTGTTGTGACCCAGAAGTAGATCTCCATTCTTTTCTTCCAAGTCTGTCTTAGTCTGGAAGCTTGGCTGACACCTGTTCACCATAGATGACCGAGCTGGTATTGTATGGCTTCCAGCATCATAGCAATATGCAAGCAACTACAGTATGACAAACTGACAGACAGATGGTGAGACCTCTTTACTATAGATTACTAATTCTTGATTTCTGTATTTTGATTCATTTTTCATTTAACTGAAGTGTGCCTTCAAGTCAGTTTTTCAGTTAGAGTGCATGGGCAATATACTTTCTAAACATATACACTGCACAGCACTCATTAGCTGCAGGTATTATTTTCTTTTATTATAAACAATCTCTGGTGTTCTCTAGTCAGCAGGTTTCATGGGAAAGTGGTGAAGGGGTGGTTTGCTGTCTGCCTACTGGACTGCTTAATGGTGAGGTTTCCCTAGGTGTCCAATTTAGACCTTCATCCAAGAGAGATGATAAGTTCTTAAAGGATGACTTGACCATTTCTAATGCCTGGGTCCCTGAATATGTATGGATGGTTGGTATTAATTTGGTGCAAAATCCTTCTGGGTCTAATTTATAAACCATAAACTTGGAACTCTGTAACTTTGGTCCAGCCTGTTAACCATTTCTTGCCTTCCTCACACAAACGAACAGAATTGTGATGTTCCGAGTGATAGAAATCAAACAGTGCAGGGTTTCTTTGGATCAGAACGAATAATCACATGGCTCACTGGTGAGTCCACAGGTTTTTATTACTTAGAGAAATCAGGATGAGATAAATGGAGTAGGGTTTATCAAATGGAGTAGGTTCTCCCAAAAGGCTCCTGTTAAAGTGTGAAATGTTTAGTCACTTCCATGCACTCTCCGCAATGCGTCATGGGTAAGAGAACAAAGAGGAACTTGGGCCTGGGTTTAAGTAGAAGAACTGGAGGATTGTAGTGCTGGACTGCATTGAAGCAAGAGGAAGGGAGATAAGAGAAAGATGCCTTTGTTTAGGAACCTGTAGCACAGCAATCCTGGGACCAGGAAGATGCCTTTGTTCAGAAGCAAACAGCGTGGCCATCCTGTGACCAGCTTCCCTACTAACTACAAGATTAATTGTGTATAATTAGCTAGTTATGGATAGTCATGGAGACAGAGAAAGTTACTGTGAGCTCATAACAGGGAGGAAGACGTCTCTGACAAGGAAAACTGGGAGAAAGAGTGAGACCCAATTCCTAGCCTCCTTATCAGAGAATGCTCTGAGCCCAAGGCTTCAGCTTAGGTGGCCTGGAAACCAAAACCCACCGCTGTCAAGTTGATTCCAACTCCTAGCAACCCCGTAGGGTTTCCAAGGTGTAAATCTCTATGGAAGCAAACTGCCACATCTTTCTCCCTTGGAGTCTCTGGTGGTTTTAAACCACCGACCTTTTGGTTAGCAGTTGATTGCGTTAACCACTGTGCCACTAGGGCTCCTTAGTCAGCCTGGATGGGAATCATAAAGGCAGACTGCCCTCTCAGCAAGAATCATTACATCATCCTAGTGCTTTATAATAAAAATATCATCAAATTATAGTAAGATGTGTCAATAAATGATCATAGTTTATAAATTCCACAAAGGATCTTTCTTTTATTCACTGATATGTCCCAAACGTATAGAACAGTGCCTGGCACATAGTAAGTGATCAATTAATATTTATTGTTGTTGTTGAAATGAGGAAAATTATGGAGAATTTAACAGATTCGTTTTTGTGCTGCCAGCATGGAGAAATCTAAATCTGGAAATCTAAATCAAGAGTTACGAGAATGTAGGCCCTCTTTGATCTTGGCATTTCCAGATCCAGGAATTTTCCTCAAGAAAATAAGTTTAAGAAAAAGAATAAAGAAGGAAGACATGAAGAAGGAAAGAAGGAAGGGAGGGAGGAAGAAAGGAAGGAAGGAAAGAGAAAACTGAAGAAAAGAAGAAAAAAAGAAAATAAACCTCAGTGTTTACCAACAAAGAAAGTAAATGATACTATATCAGTATGATTAAATATTTTGCCACCATCAAAATGATAAAGTTATAGAAATATTAAGTTTTTATGAAATAATATTAAAAATCAGTTGGAACACAAGTTTCCATTATAACTACAAAAGTAAAATCAATATGCTTAAGTAGAGTGGGATATGAATTTCCATCTTCAGTCCTAGGGAATAAGATGTGCTCTATTATTTCTCTATAGCAGTAGTTCTCATACGATGTCTCTGGACCAGCAATATCAAGATCACTTTGGAACTTGTTAGAAATGCAAATTCTTGGACCCTACTTAATATCAACTGAATTAGAAAATCTAAGGATGGGACCCAGCAATCTGTGTTTTTAACAAGCTTACAGATGATTTTGATGCATGCTCAAGTCTGAGAACCACAACTCTAAACCAGTAGTTCTCAACCAGGGGCTATTTTGCCTCCAGGGGACATTTGGGAATGTGTGGAGATATTTTTGGTTGGCAACACTGGGAGGGAGGATACTACCGGCATCTAGTGGGTAGAGGCCAGGGATGCTACTGATGAAAAAGTGTTACAGCAATCCTGGAAATGTGGGAAACTAAAAAAATGTGGATGCCACTGAAGGAATGTCTGAGCCTGCTATGTGCTGAGGAACCAAATGGAAGTCCATGAGCTCTTTGAGGGCAGTGACCGTGGCTATTTTGTTAACCATGTATTTCTGCTTCCTCAGAGCCCAAACAGTACTTACTCCTTTACCAGTGGTTACAATTTATTCTTTCTCTCCATCCACCCATCCACTCCTCCATCCACATGCCCAGCCCCCCACCCCAACATTTTCTGTGTTCAGGTCGAGCATCACAGAGGAACACAGTTCCACTGGTTCCAGGTACAGGGCATGGTGATATGGTTCAGAGTGTGACTCATATTTTGCATAGCTTTGTTGCTCTTGTCTGTGTGAGAATAGATGGGGAAGCCAAGTTTGTCCAGATCCTGGGTTTGGGAATAAACAACATGGGAGACAAGGCCTTGTTCCCGGTACTCAGGCAAAGTACCTGCCATCCTTATCTCTCCAGTCTGATCCATCAAGCCCCAGGACACAGGGTTCCCCTCAGGCCCCAGCAGACAATAGGAGGGGAAGGCCCGGATACAGCGTTCAATATGTCTCTGGCTCCTCTCGTTGCCACCGAACAACCAAAATTGATTCACTAAGGCAGCATGGGTGACATCCAAGGATGAGAGTTTAAACAGCTCTTGGTTGCTGTGGAGAGACCAAGAGAAAAGAAAAGCTCATGAATATGAAGTTTTATAAGTAGCTCTGGTGGTGCAGCTGTTAACCAAACTATTGGCGATTCGAACTCACCCAACAGCTCTGTGAGAAAAAGACTTGGTGATCTGCTTCCATAAAGATTACAGCCAAGAAAACCCTCTGGGGCAGTTCTGCTCTGTCACATGAGGTCGCTATGAGTCAGAATCGGCCCAGGGGCAAACAACAACAACAACATGAAGTTTATGGTCCCTGGGTGACAAACAGTTTTGACTATTAACCTGAAGACTGGCAATTAAAACCCACTCAAGGGCACCACAGAAGAAAGGCCTAGTGATCTGCTTTTGTAAAGATTACAGCCAAGAAAACCCTATGGAGTACAGTTCTACTCTGTAACACATGGGGTCGCCATGAGTCGAAATCCACTTGACGGCAACAAGTTTTATGAAACTTTACATTTAATCTTACCTCGATCATCTTGAGAGACAGAATAGGCCGAGGAAATAGCAAATCTGAAGTCCTGCAACACTACAGGACAGAGTAGAGCTGCCCCATAGGGTTTCCAAGGAGTGGCTGGTGGATTCGAACTGCCGACCTTTTGGTTAACAGCCATATCTCTTAACCACTGTACCACCAGGGCTCCCAGGAGTATGGATGAGCATGTGATAATAGAGGAACAGAAAGAAGGCTAGTGTTGTTGGAAGGAGTGAGCAGGAAGGACAAGACAGATTGAAGAGGTAGACGGGACTGATTTGATAGCCTTGAAGTAGAATGCTAGGAAAGAAGTTGGGAGGCTACTTTAGTGGTAAGAAGAATGTACAGTGCAGAGTAGCTTTCATCACACTCACATGGCCTTGGGTCTGCCACCCGTGGGTGATAAATTCTTTGTATCCAGTAAGGAAGGAGCCAGTTTCCTTGCTGTCTCAGGCGCCATATAGAGGATGCATTCTGTTTGCTTGGCCTTGAAGGATTTAATGGCTGCAAGGTTTTGTATCACCTCATTCAGGCTGGCATGTGAACCTAGATGGGATTAGAAGGAAAGATGTTAATTGCTTAAGTACATTCCAGGGAGAAGCTCTCCAGCGGAATAAGAAATGTCTGGGATTTAGATTCAGAAAACCTTCGTTCTGGGGTTGGTGCTGATGCTGTGTGACCTTAGTACCATGTATTAAGTATTTGGGCAACTTTCCCTGTTTTACACAAGTGAAGACATGCCCAGGGATTGATTCGGCCATGGTCATGACATTAATGGCAGTACCAAGACAAGAACCAAGTTTTCCAGTCTGCATAACCATGCAGTTTTGGTAATTAAAAGAGGTGAGTTATAAAAAATAGTAGCCAACATCTCTGAGCACTTACTGTGTCCTCAGAATGGCAAATTGTTGCAGTAATAGCCCATGATTTGTCCAAACCTACTGATATCCATTCCCTAGGATAGTCCCCTAATGCGCTGAGGCTTACTGTGGTCATGTGACTTCCTTTCATCAATGGGACAAAAGTAAATCGGTGTTTGGAGAGGCTTAAAAGTGCTTGCATGTTGGAGTTTTCCCTCTCTTTTCTGCTCTAGGTTACCCTGAAACTAACATCATACGAGTAGGCCTACACCAGGCTACCTGACAGCATACATATACTAGCCTCCACATGGCCTCATCACCTTGTCACCACAGACAACAACTGCCACTAACTGACAGCCAGAACCATCATTCAGACATGAGTGAGATCACACTATAGCAACCAGCCCATAGTCCACCCACCACCTGACCACAACTGAATGACTAAACGAAGGAAAACCTGCCTTGCAAAGCCCAGCCAAATCGCTGATTCACAGAATTATGAGCTAATCAGTGACTGTTGATTTAACTTTAGGGTGGTTTTTCTATGCAGCAAAAGCTAACTGATATATCCAAGTATTGTGCTAAGCTCTTCCTATTCAAGATTTCATTTCACTGAAGCCTTCTTAAAACCAAACAATAGTTTAGCTTAACTAGTAAAGACTATCTGCCTTGTGCTCTCTTAAGATCTATCTATATGGGATCAAATTGACAACAGCAACTCAAAAGATCAGATAGGAAACTTAGGGGGCAGTGAGTTTATGTTAATGGGGAAGAATGACTCGGAAAAAGAGGGTGAGAGTAGTTGCACAACTCAAAGAATGTAATCAATGTCACCGAATTGATTCATGTAGAAATTGTTGAATTGGTGTATGTTCTGCTGTGTATATTCTCAACAACAACAAAAAATAAATAAATTATTATTTCGGCTTTTCATTGCCCCTATGTTTTAGGTAAGAAGCCTTGGTGGCACAATGATTAAGCCCTTGGCTGCTAACTGAAATGTTGGCCGTTCTCCCACTCAGCAGCTCCACAGGAGAAAGACCTGGTGATCTGTTTCCTTAAGGATTACAGCCTAGGAACCCTATGAGACAGTTCTACTCCGTCACATGGGGCCACTATGAGTCGGAATCAACTTGACGGCACACAACAACAAGCCAACATGTTTTAGGTACTATTATTATCCTCACTTTTATATATGAAGAACACTAATCTCAGAGAGGGTAAATCACTTGGCTAAGATCACACAGCAAGGAACAGAAAGAATAAGGATGCCATCCTAGGCAGTCTGACTACAGAGAGCATGCTCATAACTGTGACAGTTGTCTTTGGTGACTAGAAGAGTGCCCTGTGGTGCAATGAACTCTCATTATTTTTCCAGGAAGAGAAGGCCAGATGGAAACTCTGCTCTCACAACTAATCACTGTCAGGGATCCTGGCTATCTTTGCAAAATATATCATAGGTCATTGGCACCAAGAAATTATATTATGGTTCCCTATATGAAACTTGGAGTCCCTGGGTGGTGCAAATGGTTAACACACTCAGCTGTTAACCAAAAGGTTTGAGGTTCGAATCCAACCAGAAGTGCCTCAGAAGAAAGACCTGACAATCTCCTTCCAAAAAATCAGCCATTGAAAATCTCATGGAGCACAGTTCTACTCCGACACACATGGGGTTGCCTTGAGTTGCAGTTGGCTTGATGGCAACTGGTATATGAAACCTATTCTCTACTAGCTTTGAGGGTTTTTTTTTTTTTTTTTCTTTTCTTTTATAGATACAGTTTCAGTTGAGTTAAAAAAAATGGACAGCAGACTGAGTGTCTGGAACTTGAGGTTTAAGTCATATGAGGGCTTTGCTCAGCACAAAGAAGTGAGTCAGCACACATCCCAGTCCTCTTACTTTGGATCTGCAAATGTTGTTTCCAATTGATGACTTCTGGTAAGCCGAGGAATTCCAGACAGTTCTTGGGATCCTTGGAGTAGATTTGGTAAGTATTGGTGTAGTGATCAAGGTCATCTGTCATCGCCTGTTTGCATTGGGAAAAGGGGGATAAATCAAATTCTTTCTATTTTACAATTGAATGCTGGGTTTTGGAATTTCACTACATTAGGATAATTTTTAAGTACTGAAATATTGATATTTTTACGGGTGCATTACCATTATTTCTGAATCACTTAAATCATGAGATCAAGATCAGAGATTCAAGTATTACATTTATGGTGGATCTCGGTGGACATCTAGCTCAATTGACATAACATAGTTTATAAAGCAAATGTTCTACATTCTGCTTTGGTAAGTAGCGTCTGGGGTCTTAAAAGCCTGTGAGTGGCCGTCTAAGATACCCTGCTGGTCCCATCCTGTCTGGAGCAAGCGGGAATGAAGAAAACCAAAGACACAAGGGAAAACATTAGTCCAAAGGACTAATGGACCACAGCTACCACAACCTCCACCAGACTGAGTCCAGCACAGCTAAATGGTGCCTGGCTACCACCACTGACTGCTCTGACAGGGATCACAATAGAGGGCCCTGGACAGAGCTGGAGAAAAATGTAGAACAAAATTCTAACTCACAAAAGACCAGATTTACTGATCTGACAGAGACTGGAGGAACCCTGAGAGTATGGCCCCCGGACACCCCTTTTGACTCAGTACTGACCTGAGGTTCACCCTTCAGCGAGATTAGACAGGCCCATAAAACAAAACGAGACTAAATGGGTACACCAGCCCAGGGGCAAAGACGAAAAGGCAGGAGGGCACAGGAAAGCTGGTAATGGGGAACGCAAGGTGGAGAAGGGGAGAGTGTTGATACGTCGTGGGGTTGGCAACCAATGTCACAAAACAATGTGTATTAATTGCTTAATTAGAAACTAATTTGCTCTGTAAACCTTCATCTAAAGCACAATAAAAAATTTTATAATGGAAAATTGCAGCAAAATATTGTTCTCTACACATATATTACATTAAAATTTCAGATCAAAAACATAACCATTTAGAAAGCACTCTGCTATCGCTCCATAATCCTCTACAGGAAGATGATAAAAGCAACTGACAAGGGAAGACTTCTGTTGCAAGAATGAATTTTACTATAGTTCAGATTCTTGCAGAACACACAGATGATGAACACGACAATGTTAAATGTGATACAGGCAAATATGCATTAAAATCTATATCAGTACATAATGAAACCAAAGAAAATGAAGACCGATTTGAAAAGCTTTCCTAAAAAAATAACATAGATAAATTGTCATTCCAGAAAAACAAACAAACCACTTACTCAGAATGATCCCCTCAAATTACTGAGTAACAGATGACATTATTTGGAGGAAGGAGGCAGAGAAAAATCTTACCCCAATTAGTATAGAAGCAATGTAGTTGGAAAATGTTGCACAAAAAATACATTCACAAGTCAGTAGTGATACCACTGATACGTTTTCTTCTGTAAGATCACATTTAAAATAAAAGAACAAATAATATTATTTCTTTCTAAGTTTTCTTATTAATGTAAAATTCTTCATTTTATGCATTATTTTAGTGATTTTTAAATATCATTTTGCTTGTAGTAGAGGCATCACATTAATATTTTTATAAATTTATATTTTCATTTGATGTTTTAAAATAAATTTAAGAATTTTTGTCTTTGAAATGTATTAACAATTTAGCTCCACTACTTTTTAAAAACCTTTGCCCAAAACGTATATGGAAATTCTAGCATTATAATTTTGCTCTTTATTGTTCCCCTAGCTCACTGTGCTCACCTTCCTGTCTGCTTTCTACTGTCTCTGGTTAGAATGCTCTTTTCCTTCTCAGTCTGACAAAAATATATTTATTTACAAAATCAAGTTCAGGTGAAACCTCCAGCAAACGATGTCTCTAACTATCATGTATTGAATTATGTTCCCCTAAAATGTATGTGTCAATTTGGTTGGTCCATGATTCCTGGTATTGTGTGATTTTCTTATATGTTGTAAATCCTGCCTCTATGATGTTAATGAGGGAGGATGGGTGGCAGTTGTGTTAGTAAGGCAGGACTCAACTTACAAGACTGGATTGTGTCCTGAGGCAATCTCTTGAGATATAAAACAGAGAAGTGAGCAGAGAGACGAAGGACCTCATACTACCAAGAAAAAAAGCACTGGGAGCAGAGCGCATCCTTTGGAGCCAAGGTTCCTGAGCAGAGAAGCTCCTAGTCTGGGGGAGCACTGATGAGAAGGCTGACAGAGAGAGAATGCCTTCCCCTGGAGCTGACGCCCTGAATTTGGACTTTCAGCCTACTTTACAGTGAAAAAATAAATTTCTCTTTGTTAAAGCCATCCACTCGTGGTATTTCTGTTATAGCAGCACTAGATGACTAAGACACAAACCCTCTCCCGTAACCACCACCACATAATCAGCTTTTGCCTGGACTAGTTTTATACCTTGTACATCTTCTGTTCGTGCATATCTCACACTGTGTTGTTATTTATTTGTTTATCTTCTCCTCCAGGGTATGAACTTCTTGAGGACACGGACTTGTTCCCTATCACCATGGTTCATTTCTGTACCCCCAGGGTCTACCATATTGCCAGTCACATGATAGACACACAGCAAACAGCGACATAGAAGCATATTCATTCCACATCTGGTACCTTACCTGTTCCTCAGGGCGGACAACCACGGTATTAAAATCTGGCCACTTGTCCACTAGGGCCTTTAACTTGAACGGGTTTCCCTGGTTGATATGGAAGACAGTGCCATAAACCTGCAGTATCCCAAGAAAGTAGGAGGGTTGGCGTGTTAGGATGGGATGGCGAAGTGCCTTGTGTTTGATCAGAACAATGATTATTTATATGAAATCATGAAAACGTGTGGTAGAAAGGGACCAAATGGCATCTAGATCAAATCATCTTTATGGACTACATTTTTACCCCAAACAAAAAAAACTTTTTCCCCATCAAATTATAAGAATTATACATAAAGTGAAATATTCACACAAATAAAAATAATGATTTAAAAAGCACTACTCTTTATTGATATTTTAATATGATTTTTTTAAGGACTTTATTCAAATGCATGGAGAGACACAATTTTACAAAAACAAAATTACCTGATATATTCTGTTTTGCAATCTGATTTTTTCCCCCAATGAACACACTGTGGGCACATTTCCATGTTAATATATGCAAACACTTTCCATTATTTTCTAAAGGCTTCATAAGGCCAAAAAACAAACAAACACACCAATTGCTGTCTAGTGGATTCCGACTCATAGCCACCCTATAGGACAGAGCAGAACTGCCCCATAAGGTTTCCAAGGAGCAGCTGGTGGATTCCAACTTCTGACCTTTTGGTTAGCAGCCAAAGCTCTTAACCTCTGAGCCACCAGGGCTCCATAGGATCCCACTATATGGATGTATCACACAGTTCATCTATTTGTTTGCCTATTGATGGGCATTTCAATTGTTGCCAACTTTTCGATTCAACAAATTATTCCTTATAGAACATGCTTGCACAAAAATCTTTGCATAGGTACCTAATATTTTCTTAGGAAATCTAGAGGAGTAATCGCTGATCCAAAGGTAATGTGCATATTTAAAACTTTTTAACACTTATTTCCACATTACCATCTGGAAAGGTTAAATGAACTCCCATCAGCAAGAGGAGGCTACCACCTAGTGCTCAAGAGCGTAGGCTTTGGGGTCTTATAGCTTGGGTCCATCCTTGGATCCCCACCCTGCCATATAGGACAGGCTGTTAAATCTTTTCAAGGATCAGTTTAAGCATCTCTACCCTCAAGAGGGTCATCAAGATGGGAGAGAGCGAGAGTGAGAGAGTGCCTCTGGACACTAAGTGTTCTTACGGTTTTGGGTTGGGGAATACAGCAGTGGACAACAGCATGGACCTCATGACAGGTGTGAACACGAAGCCTCAGCAGACGCCAGCACGGAAGTGTGCCAATGACCAAAGACCAAGTAAGATGGTGTACACTTCAATGGCTGCCACCATCGACAAATGGTGACCAAGAACTACGCCTGTATCCATCCCTCTTGCCACTCCCCATCCCACGTGAACTGTTGATATTAGACCAGGGAGAAAGAGAAGGGAGAAGACCTTATAAACTTACTGAATTTATCTGAATTTATGGTATTTCCAGCCACGAGTGGAGGCTTGATCGAGAAATTCAGTACAGGTGACACAGTGATTAAGAGCTATGACTGCTAACCAAAAGGTCGGCAGTTCGAATTCACCAGCTGCTCCTAGGGGGCAGTTGTACTCTGTCCTATAGGGTAGTTATGAGTTAAATCAACTCGATGGCAGCGGGTTTGTTTTTTTTTTATTTTTATGGTATGGGTAAAATATAGACGTTACCTTTTTACACAGTTGTATTTGGGCCTGTAAAATTTATTTACACTATCTTTAATATGTGGAACTGTTCCTTTTTCCTATTCCCATAACCTAATTAATTAAAACTCTTTTTTTTTTTTTTCTGCTTAACTCAAAACATAGTGATTCAGATGTTGAGGTTGTTTGTTAGCTGCTGTTGAGTTGTCCCCCAACTCATGCAGGCCCCATGTTTTACAGAGTAACTACTCCACAGGATTTTCTTGGTTATATACTTTACAGAAACAGTTCAACAGGCCTTTCTTCTGAGGAGCTGCTGGGTGGGTTCAAACCGTCAACCTTTAGGTTAGCAGTCGATTGCAAACTGCTCACACCACCCAGGCTTCTCGGTGATTCAGGTATCTACTCTAAATTGAATCTACTGGAGCTGGCGCATGTGATAAAATCTATTTAAATATCCAATACTTAGAAGAATGAATGGGCTTTCTCTCAGCCATTCCAGAAGTAAGTATTAAGTAACAGTGAGTTCTAGGTTATACCTCCGTTAAAAGTACCTAGCATACAAATATTCTAGATTTCCACTGGGGCACAGAGGTGATCCATGAAAAGACCCTGCCAGCACTATCACTATTCCTATACTACTATGACACTTGGACCTGGAGCTAGTTGGCTGTGAAAAGTCATCTATTTTCTTTAGCCAAAGAAGCTTCAAATGAACTGATCCCCAGTTCTGCTGTACTTAAATGGTAACATCCACACACACACACACATCCACGCACACACACACACACACACATGTGCATGGATTCACTCCCTTTGCAAATATAACATTGCAATGAAAAGGGCCATACTTAAAAATTCTGAGACTCCTTAATTGACTTATTTGTAAATCACAATATTTTGAGGCTTGATAAACGTAATTTGACCTATGACCATGTTCCAGGAAGACTCATGATAGCTAATCTCTCACTTGGCAAGTATTCTTTGGGTTGAGCACATTAAACATTAATATGTAATCTCAGTAAACTTTGGAGAACTCTGGGCAAATACTGTTATGAAATGTTTCTTGGGAAAAGGAAACAATGGGATGATTTTTGAACCAGCTCAAACAAAAAGCAGTGTTTGGTCTCAGACATACCTACGTTTACAACATACCATTGCAGTTCACTATTTGTGTGATATTGGGCAAATTATCTAACTGAGCCTCCCTTTTTTCATCTGTGACCCGGACATAATAGTAAATATATTGTAGAGAAAAAAAAACCAAACCCATTGCCCTCAAGTTGGTTCCAACTCATAGCAATCCGATAGGACAGAGTAGAACTGCCCCATAGGGTTTCCAAGGCTGTAAACCTTTATGGACGCAGACTGCCGCATTTTTCTCCTGCAGAGTGGCTGGTGGATTCAAACCACCAACCTTCAGTTAGCAGCCGAGCACTTAACCACCACACCACCAGAGCTCCTTATCTTGTAGAAAGGTAATGAAAATTAAGTGAGAAGGAACATGAGATAATGCCCGGCACAGAACAGGTGTTCAATAAATGTTAGTATCTTTTCCTCTTCTTTCAGAGGAAGTTGCCATTTCTTGCTCCCTTTAGAATGTGCCATTCTCACCTTTAAGGATGCAGGAAGGCTTTTCCTCAAGGAATTCTCAAGCTTCTGCAGCATCTGGGCTCCTTGCATTGACAGCATTGTGAAGGACACTTCAGCCTGGAGAGAAGACCAGGAAACAGTGAGGAATGAGAAAAGCTGGAGGAGGCTGAGAAACAAGAGTACAAGTTCTATGCTAACAGCCAGATCTTCAGATTCTCTTCACTGTCGCAAACGTCACTAAAGTCCACACCAGCTCCAAGTAAAACAAGACCGGCAGAGCGCACAGGGAACTTTGTCCAAATTTCCCTTTCTTACATTTCAATTAATTCTAGCCATTAGTTTCACTTTTAGATTAGCACGCATATTTTTAAATATGTGTAGAATCTTTTGAAATTAAGTTGTTATCAGTGTCTCTGCTGATTCCACCAATAACAAGATATGTAATCTTGGGAACGAGTCCCTGGGTAGTGCAAACAATTAACAAAGTTTGCTTAACAAAGGTTAGAAGCTTGAGTCCATCCAGAGACATCACAGAAGAAAGTCCTGGTGATCTACTTCTGAAAACTGAGCCATTGAAAACCCTATGGAGCACAGTTCTACTCTGACACACCTGGGCTCACCATGAATCAGAGTCGACTCGATGACAGCTGGTTGGTTGGTTGGTTGGAATCTTGGGAAAGTTATTTAGCTTCTGTGTCTAGGTTAACTCACAAGTAGATGGGATAATAGCACCGTCTAACTCAGAATTTTTGTGAGGCTTAAATGAGTTAATACGTGCAAAGTGTTTAGAAGAATGCCTGACATGTAGTAAGCACTGAACACGTTATTTTATTACTACTACACTCTTCTTCCTTCTTTTTCTTCTCCTCTCTTCTTAACGTCTTTGAGAGCGGACAACCACACTGTGATTCAAATTAGTTCATTGACTTGCTTTTCTTTTACATTGAAGGAATCGGATGTATCTTTACATTTGGAGTTGTGGCATGAGATGGTACTGGAATATATGCTCAGGGATAGAATATTCTCCTTTTTTCCTCTCCCTCCTTCACTTTCCTTTGTTCCTCTGTATTCACCCCTTCTTATTCCTTCCTTCTATAGGGTCGCTATGAGTCAGAATCGACTCTACAGCAATGGGTTTAGTTTTTTGGTTTTATTTCCTATGGTGGCACAGTGGCTAAGTGTTTGGCTGCTAACTGAAAGGTCAGTGGTTCGAACCCACCAGCCGGTCCATGGGAGAAAGATGCAGCAGTCGGCTTCTGTAAAGATTTACAGCCTTGAAAACCCTATGGAGCAGTTCTACTCTGTCCTATGGTGTCACTATGTGTTGAAATTTGACTCCACGGCAATGAGTTATTTCCAGTGGAATCCAGCTCTCAAAAGCCAGAGGTCAAGTTTATATTATAAACTCTGTGTTAATTAATTACTCCTCCAACTCATTAAAAAAGGCTCTAATATGTCCTGTGCACTTCAGAAATGCACGTAGTACACCCTAATTTACCAAAAAAAAAGAAAACCATACGAGGAAAGCAAGGCAATAGGAAACTGTAGGAAAACAATATGAAAACAGTCTGATGTTTAGATTGCATCTAATACCATTTTATGCTTTGATGAGAAGAGGGTTAAAATTTGACTCTGAGCTTTTTGGAAGTCTAAGCAAAGAATGAAATATGATTGAGTAATTTCCGTTAGATAAAAACTAAGAGCAGTCGATTCTAGTGATGAAGTCTGGACTTGACCTCAGGCAGACCTGAGATCAAATCCTACCTCTTCCACTTCTTAGCTGTGTGATCTTCAGCAAGTTTGCTTAATCACTTCAAGATTTTCTTTACATACAGTGTAGCATAGAGACTGGAGTCAGACTGAGCACATGTCATGGCTGTAGCACTTAGTAGCTCTTTGATTTTGTTCAAGTTACTTAGCCTTAAAGTACTTCAATTTCCTCATTTATTAAATGGGGATGAGAATAATACTACTTATTTCAAAGGGTTAAAGGAATGATTCATGCATCTGGCTCCAAGTCAACGACAGAATGCATCCTAACCCTTAGTAGAATGTCTGGCACGGAGTAGTACTCAATATGCACTAACTCTTGTAAGTAATGTTGTTATTATTGGGAGATTTCATTTGTGATGGTGACCACCTGAATTCTTCCTATCCTGATTCATTAAAAGTTAAGTAGACTTCTGTGAATCAGTTGGAAAACGGAGCAGTCATCCATCCATCCATCCACTTATCCATCCACTTATCTATTTATTTATTCAATAAATATTTTGAGTTGTTACTCTGAGAAACTTCCTGTGCTAGGGGTTTTGGGCATACAATAACACATTAAAGACATGGCCCCTGTCCTCTATGAACTTATTGTTAGTAAGAGATATAAAACCTGGCTACTACTAACTGTGATATCTGGTAGAAACAACTAAGTCATTTATAGGACATGGTGAAAGTGCACGATGTTCTAGAGCAGCCATTTTAATGTAGGACATTTTGACATGGCCTAAAATATAAAAAATTAACATTTTCTTATTAGCAAGTCATATTCCAAACTGGTGCTCTCAGCCTGTCACTGAGTCTCACCCTATTTTTGAGCCTGAGACTTTATCTTTAATCCTCACCCATGGATCTGTGATATGTATCAAAGAAATTACTAACCAATTGCTGCTGAGTCGATTCCAGCTCATGGTAACCCCATGTTTGTCAGAGTAGAACTGCACTCCATAGAGTTTTCAGTGGCCGATTTCTCGGAAGTAGGCCACCAGGACTTTCTTTCGAGGTACTTCTGGGTTGATTGTAACCTCCAACCTTTTGGTTAGCAGCTGAGTGTGTTAACAGTTTGCACCAGCAAATTACTAGGTAGTATAAACACAGCAGTTTTACGCATTTGATTCATTGCATCAAATTGTGATCACCAAAACAACTGGCTCATAACATTTAACTACACAAAAACGGTAGAAAAGTGACTATGTCACAGTGCTTTCTTTAGAAGCTGTGATACTTGGAGGAGGAAGAAGTTACTTCTAAGTGGAGACACTGAGGAAGTATTTAGAGAGGACATTGTGTTAAAACTGGCCTTTGAAGAGAAGGCAGTATGAGATGCCACCCTCCAGGCCTGAACTGAGTAACTTTGTGACTTTTTTTTATAGACTTTATTTTTTAGAGCAGTTTTAACTTTCAGAAAATTGTACAGAAAGTACGGAGAGTTACTATGTATCCCCTCTCCCCCGGATGCAGTTTCTCCTATTAGCATCATGCATTCCTGTGGTACATTTGTTACCTGTGTTACAGCCAATATGGACGCAATGTTATTAACTAAAAGCCTATAGCTTACATTAGAATTCACTCTGTGTTTTGACAAATGTTTGACTTTGAGATTTTAGAACAGCAGGGAGAACTGTTTCTGCCAAGATGAAGTAAAAGGACCTCGATTTCCTCTCCCACCTGAAATAATGACAAAAACAAAGAAAATAGATGGAACAACTATTTGCAGATGTTGGCTATCAGGCAGTGCAAAATTATGATCCTTGAAAAAATTGAAACAAAAAGATGAGCCCTATGATTACATCAGCTTATCATCTGAAGGCTCAGAAGACAAACCTGGTAATCTACTTCTGAAAAATCGGCCATTGAAAACCCTGAGCACAGTTCTACTCTGACACACATGAGGTCGCCATGAGTTGGGTCAACTCAACGGCAACCGGTTTACTGGTATTGTCTCAAGGCAGTTTCCAGGCTGCAGTTCAGGGAGAAGGAACCCAGTCAGAGCCCAGGGGTCTCGCTGATTTGAGGATATAGATACTGGAGTTTGAGGAGGCCAAATTAAAATTTATGGGGCAGAGAACTGGAGAAGAGGGAGCTGGAGAAAGAAAGAAAGAAAGAGAAAGAGAGAGAAAGGAAAGTCTCCAGGTCTATGGGGAAGAAGGGTCCGCTGGAATATTTGGCTAAATACGTGGTCTGTGCATGCATAAGAGAAAACCACCTTAGCCCCGGGAAAGAACCACTGGAATGAGTAGGTAGAAAAATTCCCATAGCTCACACAAGACTGGAAATAGTTTGTGTTCCAACAGGCCAGAATGGAAAGATCTCATAATATTTACAAGGGGCATCAGGTAGGGTGCTCAAAAGGGTATTGCCTTAGCAGGAGGAATAAATAGGGCCTTGTCTAAAGGCTGTTCTAGATCCACCCTAACAACACTTAAAAGCAAATCTTGAAATGATCCAACTGATTCCAAGTCACTTAACTGTGCACCAGAACAAAATTCAACACTCTGTAAATAAGTACAATAAACAGCATCAACTAACCATGCATAAAAATTCACATAGTGTAGCATCCAATAAAAAACAAACAAAAAAAAAAAAACCTAGATATGTGAAGAAGAGGAAAAATGACCCAGGAGAAAAAAAAATCAATCAGTGAAAATAGACCCACAGATATTAGATATTTGGACATTAAACACCCATTGTCGTTGAGTCGATTCTGACTCATAGCAACCCTATAGGACAGAGTAGAGCCGCCCCGTAGGATTTCCAAGGCTGTAATCTTTATGGAAGCAGACTGGCACATCTTTCTCCCATGGAATGGCAGGAGGGTTTGAACCACCAACCTTTCAGTTAGCAACCAAGCTGCTTAACTGCTGCACCACCAGGGCTCCTAAAGATATTAAATAGCTATAATAATTTTGCTCTTTATGTTTAAGAAGATAGAGGAAAACAGGATCATGAGGAGAAAAATGAAAGATATATATATTTTTAAAAAACCGAAGATGGAGTTTATAGAAATAAAAAAATACAATACCTAAAATGAAAAACATACTGGATGCGACTACCAGGAGATTAGACATTGCAGAAGAAAAACATTGGTGAACTTAATGACATACTAATTGCAACTATCCATAATGTTACACAGAGAAAAAATAAATCAGAAGACTCAATATTATTAAGGTGTCACTGCACCTCAAATTGATCTATAGATTTAAATTAATCACAAAATGCCCTAGGTTTTATTTATTGAAATTGGCAAGCTAATTCTAAAATTTGTGTGTTTTCAAGACTCACTATTAGGCTACAGTAATCAAGACAGAGTGGTATTGGCACGCTGTTGTTAGCTGCCATGGAGTAAGCCCTGGTTCATGGCAACCCCAGGTACACAACAGGATCAGACCATTGTGATCCATAGGGTTTTCCTTGGCTGATTTTTTCAGTAGATCACTGGGCCATTCTTCCTAACCTGTCCTAGTCTGGAAGCTCTACTGAAACCTGTTTAGCATCATGCACACAGCCCTCCAATGACAAATGGGTGGTGGCTGTGCTTGAGGTGCATTTATTGGGAATCAAACTTGGGTCTCTTGAATGGAAGACAAATAGATCAATGGAATGGAATAGTTGAGAAATAGACTGCTCATTTATGGTCAGTTGATTTTCAACAAAGATACCTAGGCAAGTCACTGGGGAAAGAATAATCTTTTCAACAAATAGTGCTGATTTTTATTTTTCAACAGTCAGATGTTTTCTTGGAACACTCAAGTGGCTGTAAACATCTGATTGCAGATGTTAGAAGGACAGTCACTGTGTTTGGAGACTGAGATTCTCCAGGAAATCTGATGCACTTACTGTGAGCTGCCAGCACTGGGCAATGAGCAACGTCCTTGTGATTGAACTTCAGAACCTTTGACCGTTCCAGAAGTGGGAATTTATCCAAAGAAAATAAAAGAAATTTAGATAGAATTTGGTAAAGCCACACAAACATAAGAGAGGACTGAACAAAATCCCAATGTCCAGCAAAAGGGAAGCTAATATAAAATATGATCCATCAGGATGCTGCAACTCTAAGGCATTAACATAATACCTCTACATATAGATATGTGGGAGAGTGTTAAAATAAAGTGAGAAAATGTAAGACATAAAGCAGGTCATATATGTCATAAGCATAAATTTAGAATAGAACATAGAAAAATAAGAAATAAATAGGTGGTGGTAGTAGCATTATAGATGAAATCTTTACTGTCAATTTGTTTTTTTTATCTGATTTAAATAGACAATAAGTCAGGTCTGTATTCTTGTCTTTATTTATTGACATAGCATACCCTGGCAGATATACCCAGGGCAAAGGAATCTCTTCAATTTTAAAAAACATATGCTGACACCTACTCTTTGTTACATACTATAAAAAATTATTGGAAAAGACTAGAAGGCAGGAGAGGACAAGAAAGCTGGTGATAGGGAACCCAAGGTTGAGAATGGACAGTGATGATATGTCGTGGGGTTGTTAACCATTGTCATAAGGCAATATGTGTACTAACTGTTTAATGAGAAACTATTTGTTCTGCAAACTTCCATCTAAGGTACAAAAAAAAAGAATTATCTATGTGAGATCAAATTGACAACAGCAACCCAAAAGGTTTGATGGGAAGCCTAGGGGCCAACGAGTTGAAGATAATGGTGAAGGAATAATTTGGAAAAGGATAGTGAGAATAGCAGCACAACTGGAAGAATGTAATCGATGTCACTGAATTGCACATGTAGAAATTTCTGAAATGGTGTATCTTTGGCTATGTATATTTTCACCAAAATAAAAAGGTCCTCCAAGGTCGAGAAGGGAGAGTGTTGACATGTCGTGGGGTTGTTAATCAATGTCATAAAACAATATGTATACTGACTGTTTAATGAGAAACTGTTTGCTCTGCAAACCTTCACCTAAAGTATAATTTTAAAAAATTTAAAAAATAAAAAAAGAGTACAATCTGCTTAAACTAAAAAAAAAAAAAAAAATTATTGGAGGTTTTTCAGCTCCAACTGATAAATGAATGTGGAAGGATTTGTGCACTTTCTGGAAGCAGATGGGTGAATGGAGACAGAACTGCATTTTCAAGGAAGGTTGTTGGTCCAAATACATTTATTTAACACTTACTGTGTGGAGACACTGTGCAAGTATTACCTTATTTAATCCATCTGATTATATTCTGGAGCCCTGGTGGCTTTAAGTGTGACAACTTCCTTCTAGTCCTGCAGGGAAAAAGCTAGCGATCTTAGAGTGTAACAAAAAACCAAAAACCCATTGCCATCAAGTTGATTCTGACTCACAGAGACCCTATAGGACAAAGAACTGCCTCACAGGGTTTCTAAGGAGCCGCTGGTGGATTCAAACTCTTAACCACTGTGCCACCAGGGCTCCAGAATGTAACCAGATGGATTAAATAAGGTAATACTTGCACAGTGTCTCCATACAGTAAGTGCTAAATAAATGTTACTTGGAGCAGCAACCTTTCTTGAAGATGCAGTTCTACCTCCATACATCCACCTGCTTCCAGAAAGTGCACAAATCCCTCCACATTCATTTATTAGTTGGAGCAGAAAAACCTCCAATAATTTTTTATAGTATGTAACAAAGAGTAGGTGTCAGTATATATATTTTTTAAATTAAAGGGATTCCTTTGCCCTGGGTATATCTGCCAGTGTATTCTGCCCATAAGAGCATTTTGATTTGTCTCACTTCAGTAGAGGGAGTGTCACAAGTGATGATCACCCGTTTTTGAGATGGTTCCTCACCTGGAAAGCTGTCTCAACACAAGTCTTCACAGATGTCCCCAGGAACAAATGAAGAGCAGAGTAGCAGACTTCTAGAAGGTGCAAGTTAATGCAGTTAGTTGAGCAGAGTCTTACAGAGCACGTTTTGGTGTATCTTCTCCGGGAATTGCTGAGCTGAGGATTGCAGTGTGGACCTTGCACTAAACTGATGAAAAATGATGAAGGTCAGCTCTAATGGAATGTAGCCCAGCCCTCTGCATTCCTTGCTGAGGGAGCTGCTCTGCAAGTTTGGGATCTGGCAGCATGCCTTGTGAGCTCGTGTTTCCCAAACACAGGGCTGCCCTTTGATACAACAGGAAAAAAACCAAGCCTGTTGACATCAAGTCAAATTCAACACATATTAACCCCATAGGACAGAGTAAAACTGCCCACAGAGTTTGCAAGGCTATAATCTTTTTGGAAGCAGATTGCGACATTTTTCTTCCAGGAAGCGGTTAATGGGTTCAAACTGCCAACCTGCCGGTTAACAGCCGAGCCCTTAACCACTGTACCACCAGGGCTCCTTCTTGCCCTAACAGGCCATGCCATTACTCTGCAAAACAAAGCTGGGTGAAACCAACAGGCCAGAGAGAGGAAGGAGTGTCAGATTATCAAAAAATAAAAAAGTAAACCTGTTGGCTTGAAGTCAGTTCCAACTCATAGCTACCCCATGTGACAGAGGAGAACTGCCACATAGGGTTCCAAAGGCTGTTTTTTTTTTTTAATTGTACTTTTAGATGAAGATTTACAGAGCAAATCAGTTTCTCACTAAACAATTAATACACATTTTGTTTTGTAACATTGATTGCCAACCCCACAATGTGTCA